ACATAATCACATATAAGCACACCTCTATACAATCACACTATAAGGCGATCCCGAAGGGTGTGATTGTAGAGAGGGTCAACTGTAATTGAGCTAGAAAAAGCAATAGATCTGTAGATGAATTTTGGTTGAGACTCTTAATTGAAATCATATCGCAAGGAATGGCTTTGTCACTCGATTAGACATCTTTCTTAATGCCATCAGCTATCAATTGTACGATATTTTCTGCACCTTTCTTCTTATGGCTATTTTGACAGGAGCCCTGGCTAAAATTTTAGTCACAGGATTTAATACTTTTGGTATAATTCTTTCGGAATCAAAAGCGTGATTTTCTACAGTTAATCTGGTATCAGATTCTTGTTTTTGGTTAGAGGATACTTTGCTAAGTTTCTTTTCCTGATTTCTCTGCCTAATCTTATTACTAACCTTTTTCTTATATATCTCATTCAAGAAAGCATCCGTTTCATTATCTTCAGGTAATAAAATATCCACCAATGGTTTCTCGTGATGTATTACCGTTGGTGTCTGATCTGCAACTAAATTGAAGTTAGATAAATGGATGTTAAAAGAATTATCATTTAGTGTCGACTTCTATTTCACTTTCGTAATTCTATCTCTAAATTCAGATTCCAACTCCTCAATTCTGACCTTGAGTTTGGCATTCTCAGCATCACGCATCTTATTATATTCCGCATTCTCTCTTAGAGCCTCAGCATTCCTACGCTTAAGTTCAACTATTTCAGCATCAGACACTGAGAGCTTGAACCTAAGATCAGATATTTCAGCATTCTCAGCCTCAAGTTCTCTAATGCGTTATCTCAATAATTCAAGCTCGGATGACATGATCTATTATATATATAACTAATACACTGTACATAAGATTTCAAAATAAAAAATATGTGTTTTTTGATTAGGCATCCCAGTTGAAATTTGCCAAGAAATTTTTTTATTATTACATGCGAAAAATAAATACAAATGTTCAGGACTATGCCTGTGATACATATTATTTTTTTATAATTTTTTTGATTCTAGCCCTCTTGCTAGCTGGGGAACTATCTACACTAACACGATCCTTTAATAACCCAACAATTATATCTATTACTCTTTTCACATTATTTCGAAGTAACTCAGATTTTTCTTTAACTGCAGATTTTGTAAGATTAATTTGGTATTTGCTTCCACTTGTAAAGTATATATCATCAGGAGTATATATAATAAAATGACACTCTATACCTGTGGTCACAATACCATAGATATAGTCAAAATTGTCATTCCCAAATGCTTGATCTGCAGTTATTTGTTTGGAACGCACTTTCAAGTTGCGTCAAATTCTAAGAAATAAATTATCATTAATCTCTAATATGTTAGAAAGTGAAAATGTAGATAGTAGATTCACCTGCGCATATCCAATCTTAATATTTCGTGGTTTCCCTTCAGTGATGCAGAAAAGGTCTTCCAGGCTTTTGATTGCGTAGTCTACTCAGCCTGTTGTGTCTTCACCAGAAACGTCCTTTTGAAACACTATAAATATATCTTAGGAGGTAAGTTTTTTAGCTATAGCGATGGATGTATGGAGAATCGATGAAATAAATTCACAGCATATTGCCTCGTTAGCGTCGTTCATGGTTTCCACATTTGAAAGTTTTAAGATTATATCCTCCATACAGTAATCGAGAGCCTTATCATCATCATTAATCTTCTCGAAGACTATAGAGAAAAATAAAGTTAATATAACTATCCAGTCAGTTTCAAAAAATAATTAATTACCTATCAGGAGTAAACTGCTTGATATTTGTAATATCTTCCTCATTGACCTTATTTCTACGCAACATTTCTTTCAAGTCGTTGAGAGTTTTAAGCGAGGAGTAGTTTTGTAGCTTCTGGTCAAAACTCTCAATAAATTCTACAAGTCTCTTTGCAGGACCGGCTTTCATATCATAACTTTGAAATTCCTTTTTAATTGTATTAAGAAAGTCACTACCAGCTATTTCTTTTTACGTAAAATTTTAAAGTGGGTCTCATTGAGCTTCAAGTCTTTCTTCTTCAAATATTCAATAAGCTTCTCTATATTAAAATCCTTAATCACGTCTGACATTGTTCTTGTGGAAATTTTTTCCGTTATTGAGACGGGTGAAGTAGGTGAAGAAGTTTGTGAAGACATAGCGTTTATATATGTGTGCTTGTGTTTGTGCTTGCAAAAAAATATGTACTCGACTGCCATCACAGGTAAAGCTGATTTATGGATATAAAGTATTTTTGATTTCTGGTGTAAAGTGCTCGGGTAAAGATGATAGTATTGATTCATAATGCATTTGCCCAATATATATGCAATTAAGATGTAGTACAGGATTGTCAGGTGATTATATTACACCATTATATGTGATATTATTGAGATGAACGGGACCATATAATATATGCTTTATTTAATAAAAACGTTGCTGAAAGTCAGCTTACAATATGGGGCCTTTGCAATAGAAAGGTGGGAAACAGCCGAAAAAATCCAAAGTGAGTTAATGCTAAATTTGAACATATTTCAGCATAAAAATCATATTTGGCATATAAAGTAAAATTAATTTTTCCTGGCAGTTTCCCCTCTTTCTATTGCAAAGGCCCCATATATAAAAATTACAAATATACGAAGTACCTTAACGGCTATCGCTTTACATGATATAAATAAAATTTTCTATTTGTTAGAGAAAGTTTTAGGAGTGGTAGGGTGTACAATGACCGTTAGATTATCATCTTTTTCAGGATTAAAATAATTAAGAATTGCCTTCTTCATATTTATAAGATTTTTCAGATGTACGCTATTTTTATAGAGATCAAAGCGAGAAGTACCAATTTCTTCTACAATGTAGTTTTTGAGTTTATCGATACCACGAATCTGAGAAGTAGCAACTACAAATTCATTGTTACCATTTTTAATAGTAAGTTTGATATAATCAGTATCTATCGTTTTGTTTTCCTAAATATAAGAGTTATAGTAAGAAAACTGTTTCTATACATACATAATTTATGGCATATACATACCTTATTTTCGTTATTTCTCTGGGAATTTTTTTTGCGGAAAGTTGGCTGAACTTCCACATACCCTTACATACTTTATATTTTGCTGGGAAAAAGTTAAGGAGGTATGAGGCATAATTAGCTTTGTCGTATGATGCCAAGAGTCTCTTGAAAGTACATGCAAGCAGAATCTTCTTACCTTTTCACATGTAGATCTATCAGAGAGATACATAGCTAGTCTTACGCCTAGTGACCTCAAAATTGCGAAGTTCTCAGCCCTTCATAATATATGCTTTTGTTATCAATATTTACTTATAGGGTATGTTCTGGGTTGCATGTAGATCTCCTTTCACATTTTTCTCATGTTTGTTTGAGAAAAAATAGGGTACTGGTTAGGGAATATATATATACGAAATTAATATGTGAAAATTAATATCACACAAACCCTGCCTAGTGATCAGCTATTACATCATTGCTCAGAAATCTATGCTAAGTCTTCCAAGCTGATGATTACTGCTTCAGATTAGTTAGATCAGTAGAGCATCACCATTATGGGGCTAATATTCTTTCACCAGCTTTATGTCGCCAGCACATCTGAGATAGAACCAAATTCTGATTACCTCGCATACTTAGATCTAAAAGACTCTGAGCTAAAATCTGTCTACTAGTAACGTTGTTCTATGTAAGATGATTTATAATCACTCCAATGAGATCAGGAGGCGTTAGAGTTTCCACAAAATTATCGACTTTAATATTCAGATTAAGTGAAACAAGCTGATTTACAGCCTCTTTGCTAATTTTATAACACCCTCTCAAATTAAGATATTTTAAATTAAGACATAATCTAGCAATTTCTTCGATAGTTATATTAGTAATTACACAATAACTAAGATCAAGTTATTGGAGTCTTAGGCAAGAACGAATAACATTACAAATTGATATTTCAGAAAACTCTTTGTGAATAGAAATATTTAGATATTCTAGTTTATGGCATGAGTTTGCAATTGCAGATAAACCTATATCATTTTCTGATTTAAATCCTCCACGTAAAGCAGATATATTAAGATACTCCAAATTTGAGTATATTAACGCTATTAGCTTTAGAACTTCACCTGTACAGTCCGTACTTTCTTTAAAATCTAAATGAATTATATTTTGAAAAGTAAACACAATGCCTTTGATTTTTTTATTTGAAAGTAAACGGTAGTGTGTTATTTTAAGATAAGTTAGTTTTGAGCTATAAACTGGCTTTCTTCCTCCTCCAGGTACTATTTTTAAAAAATTTTCCAATCGAAATTTATTCTCCACATTGTCTCCCTTTAGCTCGATGCGTTTCCATAGAATAGGAGCAGTGCATCTGTACCACAACTGGCTAACAAATAGAGCGAGATAAAGGGATTTATCTATCAATAAGAAATGTAAAATCTGTTCTAATAGTTCTGATATAATAAAAATGCTTGTATGCATTATAAATAATATATGCTGTATCTTTAAACAAAAAAATAAATTAGCTGAACTGGCCGATTACTTCTATCGAACTGCCAGATATTCACATAGCTCAGAATAATCAAATACACCTATAACCCTATCTTGCCTTACATTCTTGACAGTAATAAAGCTGGTTGTCCTATCATATGTGTGTTCATATTTGGTAAAATTGCATAATGGCAAATACTGCATGGATTAGTAATGAACTTACCTGCGGTCTTGCGCCTATTATTTTTAGATTTTTTAGCTATACATGATAATTTATCTGATTCAATTAATCTGATTAGCAGATATGTCTTAATAATTATTTTACGCAAATTCTAACTCTCGTGCTAATCTGTCCAATGTTAATTGAAGTCTAATTATATAAACTTTTTGCTGAGCTTCAGCTCTAACTCCATTTGGAATACCGTTTTAATATTCTTTTTTACATTATCTATAATATCCTCTAAGCTCACTATAACAGATGTCATTTTAGTGATTTATTCTATAACTGAATATTTATCATGCCAGAAAAAAAAAATCTAATAATTATGTAAATACTGTGATTTGCCTTCTTCAACTTGCATATATGCACTATATCACTAGTCTAGTCATGGCAGTGACTTAGACTCGATGATTTTGGTTATAAAGTAGACAAGTGAGGCACACGTTCTCTTTGATATACCCCAAACTTTTGTGGATTCGATCCACTGTCCACCGGGATATATCTCCTGACTGATTTCATTCAAATTTCATTTCAATAAGACATAATACGTATTTGTCTTCATGAAGATGTTTTAACATGAGAATATAGTCGACTGTTAGATCGAATTCACAGCCTTTTTCCTTGTCCTGGCCCATATATCCAATGAGTTTTTCCTGAATAGATGGTCTCAATTCGTACTTTAGCCATCTTTTCTTTTTTGCCTTCTCAATCTCTTGGGCAATTTCAGAAGATAATGGAGACGTTTTAACCCGAATGAGTTGGCTTAAATATTTCACACAACCAACTGCTAAATATATTAGGTTATCTCAGACTAAGTTTTCATCAATGACCCAAACACACTGTGGAGCTTTAAGGGTCATTCCTTGACTAGTGTGAATAGTCATAGCATATCCAAGTTCCCAATCTATGACTTTTTTATCTGCCAACATATCTTTTAAGAATTTGTCAGGGAGTGTATTTAAGGGTAAGTGTATTATATCATTTTTTACTAATTCCTTTTTTTCAGATGAGCTGGGGATCGGAATAAGATAATTTTGTTTGTGTCCATCTTTTAGCCTATAGATTAATAGGATTGGCACATTGGAATATTTTTCTCGATGAAGTTTTAAGCATCTTTGGGAAGCAATTCTTCAGAAAAGTAGATGTGCTGATAGGATGCAGTCTAATGGCTTCCATTCAGCTTCAAGATATTCCCATTTTTCTGTAGTCAGAAGTGCTTCACGGAATAGATCTGATTACACTCTATTATTTTGCCATTGCATTTTTTTCTTAAGCTCTTGTAATCTAGGGCATTTGGCCTAATAATCAGACAAGATCTTCTCATAGTAATCAGCTCACTTTTTTAACCAGTCATGAGGCATTTCTCCGAAGAATGGTGGAGGCTGAGCGTCATCCCCACAACAGATTATCTGACATTTTTGCTCTAGTAAGTAGTTGATGAACTTCTCTAGAATATGTTTAGGTACTGTACATACTTCATTCCAGATGACAACTCGTGGAAATTTCTTTTCTCCCATGCGTTCAGGAGTCTACTCTCCTACACCATTCCACCTAAAGAAGCTATGCTTTCAACTTACGATCATTCTGAAAGTCTTTAGCTAATGCATTCGTATGAGTAAAGACCACTATGTTTATATCTTTAAAGATTTGGATTGCACGTGTTGTCTTTCTAGAACCACCACCTCCATTAAGATATGAAACTCAGGATCTTGTAATAAGATCATGAATTGATGGAGCAATATTTTCAGTAATATTTTTGATCGATTCCCAATGCCTATTTTTTGGCTAATATACAACATTTGGGTCTGAGTCATGAATTTTCTCTCCTTTATCACGCCATTGGCCAGGCTGAATTTCTCAAATCTTTTCCTCTTTTAGTGACTCAACTCTTTGATAACAACTCTACTGGTATTCTTCCAAGAGCCTAAATGAAAGTGCCACTTCCCAAAGCAAATAGCACATACGAATGGTTTATGCTTATTACATGATAAATAGACCCAATTTTCTCCCTTTTGCATTAAAGGAATCACTTTTTTGATGAATTCTTTAACTGCTTCTTTTGAATAATAGCCTTCTGCCCCACACATTGCATAAGAAGATGCTTTATGCGAACATTGAAACTTACTAGTATCACCCTAAAATCTGTGATTAAGGGGATGCTTAGCTTGCTTAAAGAAAGCAGATACATTTTCGATCTTATATAAGGCCTCTCCTCATATTTATATAGAATCTGTTACGATTCTTACCACTTCATTAGGGCCAAATCTCTGGAGCATTTCCAGCAAGTTTATATGAGCTTAAGCTAACATCGAGGCTTGCAAATGTATATATTGAGGCTGATAGCCTTCGTAATATGTAAGTATATGCCCAAGCAGACATTTATTACTACTTGCATATGTTCCCGCCTTCATGCAATCCTGGATCAAGAAATCAAGCTCACCTTCATCTATTACAACCCAGTGAGTAAGGCGCTTTTTTCAACTTTATTTCCTTATGTGAATTTTCCTATGATTTCGCAACTGATATCCCGATTTTTAGGCAACCATACCTTTATCTGCTTGGTAAGAGAAATAATATCTTTGCCTATAGTTACACTTTCTAGGATACCTGCTTCGAGAAGATATCGTAGAAGCACAATAGACGTTCATCCTCTTGTCTTTTCACATCCCTTCTCACTTTGACAGGCAAAGTGTTTTCCATATCAAGCAGGGATTGCTTGATGAACATTGGGAACGAATTTAAAGGATCTTACCTGCACAAATCTGATTATATTATCTTGTGATAATCCTCCATTCACTACTACTCAGACAAGATGGTGTGTTGGGTGGCCAAATCGTTTGAACCATGGTGAACATTCTCCCTGACCACACATACTTGCCAGATAGCATTCCTTCATGTCTATACATACAATATCTTCGACTTGATAATTAAGCGCATTCCAACGTCCTCCATACCAATGTTCGACACAAGATTGCTTTATATTTTCATGTACACTGGTTGTAGACAAAGGAAAAAACAAAGAAGAAGATATTTTCCAAACAACATTCAACATCGATAAAGCATATGACCTCTCTGAAAATATTCTTGATAATGACAATAAATCACCACAAGCCTTCAACTGACCAAAGTCTGCTTTTCACGTGTCTTTCCTACTCAATGATATTTCTGGGAAGTCACCTCAACAAAAGGTTTCCTTTGTTGTAAACCTGCTCTTTAACGCCTATGATTCGTTCACTGATGTAGTAGCTGCAAAAACTCCATGAACCAATCAGAACGCATTATCAAGATTTCCTTCTATAACAAAGACCACCGAGATCACGCATGTACAGTTGATTTACCCAGTATGAAAAATTGCACATTTTCACCCTTGGAAATCATTACACAACATCCATACGTTCTAAATCAATCAATCAAGGTCACAGAGATATCCCTAGATGCTACTGAACACAAAATAAAAATGATCTTCTCTAAATTTGAAAGATCGTCAGATTTTTTATGGAAACTAAGAATCTCTGGCAACAAGCCACAATCACTTATAGTAACAACACTGATTTCAATACATTAAAAAACAAATACAGGGTTTTTGTTCTTAACAACATGATTAGATGCCACATGTGTGATTTATTTCGTGGTGATATTCTTATTAAGTCAAAATTTTCAGCCAAACTTGCAGGTCTCCCTCGTTTTACCAACAGCAAACAACTCGCTGATATTGGACATATGGTCAACGCCATCGCTTGGATTATTCCTAAGGCACGATCAAACTACCACAATCTCAGCACTTTTTCTTTTATTTCAAATCAGCTGATGATTTTGAAGCTGCGATCAGCAATGAAAATCTTACGATTGATAATAAGCACATAACTTGAATTGAGTCGAATGCTAAATTATATGCTATCTGCTTCTCACCCAACCATAAAGTAAATGACTGTCTCAGAAAATGCAAATCGCCTTCCGACAACAACATACAACAACTCTACCAGTGATTTCAACCAGCATAATACAGTAATTACAAAGCTCCCATGAAAGGCATCAAAAGTGTAGTAAGTCCTAATGTCACATTCACTCACGTGACGAAAACATTAGAGCCCGAAATGAACAAAATAGATCAACATCAAAAATATCCTGATAGATCCCCTCCTGGTTACCAGAAAATCTTGACAAACAAGGTACATCAGAGTCACCATTATCATCATGGTCCGATGATATTCCTGATGACTTATATAATACATCTTACCAAAATCCGAATACCTATACTTCTTTGAATGACATTAGTAATGATACTATAAAAGGAGGCTATATGTATGCAAATAATGATGAAGACTTTAAATTCTTTGTCAGATAATAATTTTCAGCTCTCAATGATAATATGTGCGAATTGATAAAGAATCTGAACTTCACCATCATGAGAGTTAAAGCAATTGAAGAGTTCCTGCAATTTAAAGTCATTCACTCCTCTTGAAACGACTATTAAAAACTATAATCCTGAAACCATGGAATTTGATGAAGTTGAACCCTCTATTGATACATCATCATCTATTATCATTCAACAACGAAAAATGATTAAAGGATTTAGGAATCTCAACGAAATGCATCAGCATAAATTGAAATCCTTCACAACCACGGTTAACACCCTGGTCAAATCTTATGCTACATTTCAGACCATCCTTATACAGAATGATTTGCTTTCCAAGGACTTGGCCAATACAATTTTTTCACTTAAAGAAGGTTTTGATAGTGATGTCGGAAACTATCTCAAGGAATTACCATTCTTTTAAACCTGTTTCTAATGAATACTGTTTTTACAGATAATTTTACACAAGATGTACACCCTAACACAAATAATGACTTTTCTTCTTCCCTTTATTTATTTCTTTCGCATCACAAAACGTTCACTCTTTTACTAACGTTGCTAAGCAAAACTCACTTATTGAATTTTACATTTCTTTGAAATTAGATATCATTGGTCTTCAGAAAACTAATTTCTCTCAACCTTCAATCTGATCCTTTAATAGCACATTCTCATCAACTTATACAGGCTTCTTTGAACTGCCTTCAGATTCCTATAGTCAAAAAACTGGCTTTGGTATTGGATTATTAGTTCGCTTTTATTTGGCAAATCATATTTTTCATCACGAATCCAAACACAATCATATCATAATAATTGATTTACAATTCAACAACAAACAAAAATTAAGAGTTATTAACTGCTATCTCCTACCGGGTAACCTCTCTCATTGAAAACCAATACAGACGGATCTCATAAAATACCTTAGAGAGGTGGTCTCCAATAATTATTACTTGGTGCTCCTTAGTAACTTTAATGCAAACATGAATAATTATAAGTTACATTCACAAGATAAAAGTTTCTTTTCTCGACTCAACCAAATGCACTTATTTGACACTTTCTCAGTTAAATATGATCATTCTCGACTTAACTATCCTACGCATCAAAGCCTTATTTCAAAATCAAGAATTGACTACATTTGGTCTTCAGTTGATGTTATTTCTAATTTCACGAATTGCAATTTCTTAAATATTGATCCTTCTTTTTCTGACCATTCGCTGGTCACCTTCAGTGTTGAAAATTTCTTGGATATCAGGAACAATAAAAGGAATACTCCTTCAAAAAAGACTTATGATTATGATAAGATGACTGATGATAAATAGGAGACTTTCAGCAATAAAGTAGATGATTTGACAAATGGTTGCTACTTGTGAAGCCTCACCAATAAATCCACTTTCAACCAGAATAAACTGAATCGATACTTGGACCTACTACAAGAATACATTATAAAAGCAGCTGATTCTACAATCTCTTCACATCAATCCAAGGGACAACATTCGATAAAACGACCTCCACTCTTATCGAAATTATATAAGAGGATGAAATTCTTGTATAAAATTAAGAAACTGGTTAAGGATATACTGGCGAATTCAATAGTCTCTCACAAATGGTCACCATCAATAGAAGAATTCTATTCACTTTTAAATGAGTTCAGCATACCGTATGTCTGACTGTTTACCTTCTGTTCCAACTGTTCTCATTACATAATTAGTACAGTTCTATATTGATTTCCTGCTTTGCTGCTTTCTGGTGGAATCAAAGCTATACGAATAGGAATTTAAACTCAAATCCATCCAGATGGAAATTAAAAGGAGATTGGAGAATTATCAACTTTCTCCTGCTAAAATGACTGACTCCTTTTTGAATCGACACAAACGAACGATTGTTATCGACCGTTGCTTAAATAATGGTTCTTCGTCATATGGGAACGTTTCCAGTAAAATCAAGTTATGAGGCATAGTAAATCATATGATCCGTAATGTGATTTTACTGGAAACGCTCCCATATGATTTATTGACAAATAACCATGATGTCAAAACTGAAGTTGCCCGACATTTTCAAATGGCGGTTGGCACCTTCTATGAAAATGTACCCTTGGATGATAAATGGAGTCCCTTTTATCAACCATTAGAGGAACGTTGAAGCGACAATTTATAATAATCTAATGGATTCACCTTTAGCTCAAGAATGGTATGATCTAATAGCTTATCTTTCAAATGGCAAAGCTCCAGGTTCTTCTAAAGTATCTAATGAGATGCTTAAACACCTTGGCCCTACTACCAAAAAGCTACTATGGTATATAATATGTGAATGTTTATCCCTTTCATCAGTACCTTATCGTTGGAATCATGCTTTCATCTATCCGATTCCTAAACCCAAACTGTGGGAGTATAATTTAAATAACACTTGTTCTATAACACTACTTGAGTGCCTTTATAAAGTACTTATCAAATTAATTAATCGACAACTCTCAAAGATTTTAGTACAACATAATATTTTAAAAGGATTGAACTTCGCTGGCCTTCCGTTCAAATCCACATTCGAACCACTACATATCATTGACAATATCAAATATGATGCTGCTCATAATAAGAAGGACCTTTGCATCTTATTACAAGATATGTCTAAAGCATACAATCAGATTAACATTTTTATGCTTATAAGAGCACTTGAAAGATTACACATCACTTTCAACTTCCTTAGGTTCATTCTAAAAATTTTTGGTAACCGTCATAATCAAGTATTTAACTCTTTTGGCAATACTAACTTATATCAGGTTATGTCAGGTATAGACCAAGGAGAGATTATATCACCTCTTCTATAGTGTATATATTATGACCCTCTTTTGTATAGAATTCAAAACTCTTCACACAGCTACTCGCTATCACACACTTGGAAACCAAATATTTTGCTCAATGACACCGAATCGACAACCGTAAAAGTGTCGACACTTGTATATATGGATGATATACTATGGATCGCTAGGTCACATGAGAATCTCACTAATATCATCGAAATAGCAGAAGATTTCTACAAATTGAACTATATTAAAGTCAACTGAAAAAAGTCAGTTCTCTTGACCAATAAAGTTAAAGATAGACAACCCTTTACATGTAATACAAATGGTTGTCTCACTAATATCGACCCACTGCCATTTAATGAGCCAACTAGATACCTAAGTGCATGGATCTTATTGGGACGTAACAAAACTTTCAACATTAATATGTTGAAAAATGATATCAAAAACGCTACAACTGTCATGTTCAAAAAGAAAATGACTGATAAACAAATGGTGTATATCTTCAACACTGTTCTCACTCCAAGATTCGAATATCATGCCCAATTGACTGCT